TATTCCTATCAGAAGATTTACAGGAATCATAAAAAACATGAATCTGATCAAATCAGATTTTATGTTGTCGTACTTTTCATTTAATGAAGGCCAAAAAAATAAAGTGGAAAAAGTTAAGAATCTTCTTGAAACATAACCATATTAAACACTGTTATAATTACTTTATTTAAGTGTGTAATAAAACTAAGTAGAAAGCAAACTTTCATTGATGGTACATAAAGGTACTTCTAAACTAGCCTTTCACCTCTTGGTTCAGCAATTAAATGTGGACATTTATAGACAGTTATTAACCAATCCCCTACCACTTTCTTATATAACTTTGGTTGGCTTCAAACGCAAGATAGCATTTTATAAAGAAGTAGTTTAAGATTCCTAGTTTGACTGATTTATTTATTTATTTATACACTTGTTTAAAACAATTATACAGCTGTTCAACTTATAACCAAGTCTAGGTAGTGTCCAATCAAAGATTAAAGTTCACAACATCATATTAAAACTGTAAAAATAAACATATTAAAACAATAAAAACAACAAAAACCTGTCACCTAGTCAAATTTATGGTGTGTAGTTACCTAACTTATCTCAATGCTTGGGGAAAAGCCAAGTCTTCAAAGCTTTATGGAAGGCTAGGAGGGTAGAGGCCTGCCAAATTTCAGGGGGAAGGGTGTTCCATAGAGCAGAGGCTGCCAAGCATGTGCCCGAGAGATGCTTCCTAGCTCTCATCAGATGGAAAGTTTTAAGGACTACAAGTGTGTCTACCCTTTCTGACTTGGTAGGATGGATAGATGTCCTTAGGGAAAGGCAGTCCCACAGACTTAAATTTTTCTTAATAGCAACAGCAATAGCACTTAGACTTATATACTACTTCACAGTGCTTTACAGCCCTCTCTAAGCAGTTTACAAAGTAAGCATATTGCCCCCAATAATCTGGGTCCTCATTTTACTGGTTTTGGAAGAATGGAAGGCTGGGTCAACCTTGAGCTGGTGAGAATCGAACTGCTGAACTGCTGGCAGCCAGGAGTCAGCAGAAGTAGCCTGCAGTACTTCATTCTAATCACTGTGCCACCATGGCTCATTTTCTTAATATTATCTACGTGTAGTAGAATCAATGTGGAAACTGAATATTATCTCCCAACTTTTATAAAATATGTAAAACTCACATTATTTTTGGGATCTTATCATAAATGTTGAGAATGCTTCATCATGCTTGGCCTAGGAATTTACAAATCTAGGATACCAACAGTCCTGTCTTAAATTAGATCCAGTTTAATAGATAAATATATATTGAATATGAGCTTCTGTTTCTGTCTAACATAATAACTTCCAATTGATCTCCTAGTGATCTTATGATTCTGATCATACTTACTGTTGCCATGCAGATAATCAGGAAGTATTTATAAAATCACATTTGATTAATAGTATATGATGAAACATATGTGGGTTTTGAGATGGATTTGATATTCATTATAGTGGAGTTTTCTGCTTTGTCGGTCATACTTCCTCCCCAGTGATTACGCGACTTCCAAAATTCACTATCATTTTCACACTGTCTCTGTACTTGAAAAATTAGATATTTTTTCCTTTTTTGACTGTTGTGCTTGTGGAGTGCTTGTGCCTCCCCTTCATTTCTCCAAAATCCTGTCATAGAAATGAACTCTTGTGCAGATATGCCCCCTTACTGCTACAGTGGATATTATGTGCAATGGTTAGTTATACCGGTGAATGAACATCCTGTTTTTATCACAGTGTGCATCCCATTTAGAATAATCTATGCTGTGAAAAATATTTGTAATTATGTGCTTTTCAGTTCTGCTAGATACAGCTGTCTTGCACCAGAATTTACTATTCAGCTATTGTGAATATAAAGATGACAGGAAAGGACATCACAAAAGATCCAGCAAACATTTAAACCCTTGAGATGTTACAACTTGGAGAATTAGAATGAAATGACTTCCATTGTGCTAATTAGGAGGATATACTGTGAGAATGTGAAATACTCATACCACTACAGCAAGCACTGTCAAGGTCCAGTAGTGTAACAGTTCTAAGATTTTCACTGTTTTGAGTTCAGAGAGGATATTATTTCTATAGTGTGACAATAAATTGCCTAGATTTAGCCCTTAGTGTAAAATGGGGACATCTGTTAAAGTGCTGTTCCTTTTGACAAATATATTAAATCAGCCTGTAGAATAAATAGTGTCTTACATAGCTGCAAGTGGGAATATGATATCTCTGCAAGATGTCATAGCAACACGAGTTACTTAGCTGAGAAACTGCATCTGAATTGAAAGCTTGGGGAAGAAATGGGTAGGTAATCAACAGGGGACTAAGAAAGCCAATCACATGCTGTATTCAAAGTCCCAAATTCTCCAGGTGGGATTGAAGAAATGTAGCAGTTGTTGAATGATAAGCTATCTTGCCTCCAGGTCTTTTCTGTTCTCTAGTATAAATCTACCATAGATTGACTCAAAAATTAATTCAAGAAGATGAAATTCTTGTAAAAGCAAAATAAAATCCATTGTTATCCTTTTACTTCCTCCATGCAACATACTCTTAATCTTTCAGAAGAAGAAATTCTATTAACCTTCGTGTTTCTCAGAAAGTATTTATGGATTGCAAAAGGATAAAGGGGAAAAAAGACAATGTCCCCTATGTATTTTCAGGGTTAGCAGAACAAAATTTCTACTACAAAGCTATGTTTTGAAACATAATGTTATGGTATTTATTATTTTGATTTAATCTAATATGTGCTTTGCCAGTTAAAAACCACCACCTGCAGACAGTGTGAACGATCACCTAACTTTTCAGAGAGGGTGAATTCTCCATTTTTGAAACCTTTATTGAAACTCAGAAAACTATCCAATGGTATCATTTTCTTAGAGGAAGGCAACTTTTAGATTTAGTGTCATAATATTGGATTATAGCAAGCCATAGCTTGCCAGAGTAGAGTTTGACTATCCAGTAAGAATAATAAAGAAAAGCCTGTTTAGAGTCTTCCCTTCTTGTGAGGTACATGGAGTATGGGCCTTTTTGGTGGCAGCCCTATTCCCTGGAAATCTTACAACTGGAAGTATGGATTGCTTTTTGAAAGCAGATTAAGATATACAGGGGCAATTCGGAAATAAATCTCCATTTGGTTATCAATGACAGACACTCACAGATACAGAACTTTTATTATACACATTATAAAACTACATTACATTACTTTTCAATATCACCATTCAAATTGAGACACTTGTCATAACGTCTTACAAGATTTTAAATTCCTTAGTAGTAGTTGCCTGGTGCCAAATCTGAGCTATGGGGGGGGGGTGATCAAAAACATCCCAATGGAAGTGCTTCAAAAGTTCTTGGGTGCATCTAGTGGTGTGCGGGTGAGCATTATTGGGAACCAACACCACACTGGAAGGGGTGCCATAAAAAATCCTGCCAAATGTTAAGATGCCAAAGGAGTACTGCTAGTGAAGTTCATGGAGTGTGGTTCGACCATCAATTCAGAAGTCTACTGTGAAACATTACAAAAACTCAGATGAGCCATCCATAACAAGCGTTGGGGTTTGCTGATGGTGTGGTGTGGTGTTGGTTCATGATAATGCTTGCCCGCATTGTAAGATGTTATGACAAGTGCCTCAATTTGAATGGTGATTATGTTGAAAAGTAATGTAATGTTGTAGTTTTCTAATGTGTATAATAAAAGTTCTGTATCTGTGAGTGTTTGTCATTGATAATCAAATGGTGATTTATTTCCAAATTGCCCTTGTACTATCGCACCTGGCTTTTGGCCCTTAGTGGTGTTTGCACAGCCATCATGGGTAGATAGTATAGTAATTGTATTTTGGAATTTTCCACCCAGAGTTTATATGGATTAAGGAGATCTCTAAATGTGGTAAACAAATAAACAAGCAAATGCATTTAGTCTAACTTTCAAAAATGCAATCATTAATGATTTTACAAATGGACTCTTTAAATCATGTAAAATATATATTTAGTGTTGACTCCTGGTAGCTACCCATACAAATCCTTACCTTGGCAAGGTTTCAGAAGTGGCTTCCAATTACTTCTTCCCTAAGACTGAGAGAAAGTGACTGACCCAAGGACATCCAGTTTGGTTTGTACCTAAGGTAAGACTATATAGCACATGGCCTCCCAGTTTCTATCCAGGTGCCTCAACCACTGCATCAAACTGGCTTTCAGGTAATGTTAGGGGTTCATAATGTCATAACTTTATAAACAGGCCAGAAGGAAGTAAAAGAAGTTAATTCTTTAATCTTAAAATCTTTACATAAGGTGATATATTATATTGAGGCATAGCTTTTAGTAAAAATCATACAACATAATTGTGGCTGTACCAAACAGGTGAACGGTCTTAGAATAAGAGTAACTTCTGCTCTGCTTCTGCTCTATTTTTGCACAAAAATACTATATGAAATGCCATCTTTTTCAGGAGATTCCTCAAAACTTTTGCCAGCATTTATGCAACATTTTCTTCTTTATTGTTCCATTATTGCCAAATGATATGCTTCATTATTGGTGCTGCGGTAAAAGTACATTCCTTTTTTCCTTTCAGATTCAATTTTAGGGAAAAGCATATTTTTTTCCCCAAAGGAAAACGACATTTTGGTGAATTATACCTGGTCAGAGTGTGACATTCTTGCTTGTCCTTTAATTAAAGGATGGTGAAGGATGTGTGCACATTGGCTCAGCTTCCATGGTACTTTTACAGGTAGCCTTCAACTTATGGTCACAATCGAGCCCATTTGTTAAGTGAGTTCTGCTCCATTTTATGACCTTTCTTACCACAGTTGCTAAGTGAATCATTGCAGATGTTAAGTTAGCAACATTGTTAAGTGAATCTGGTTTTCCCATTGACTTTGCTGGTCAGATGGTCACAAAAGCTGATCACATGACCCCGGGACACTGAGACTGTCATAAAATATGAGTCAATTGCCAAGCATCTGAATTTTGATCACATGACCCTGGGAACGCTGGAATGTTCAGAAGTGTGAAAAGCAGTCGTAAGTCACTTTTGTCAGTGCCGTTGTAACTTTGAACAGTCACTAAATGAACTGTTTTAAGTTGAGGACTATTTGCACTTCTGCAACCTGCATCTTAGCTTTCCAAGTCTCAATTGAATCCCAGAGGAAGCCATCATAAGGTGTTTTCAAGTCAGGAAATGCAAAGGCAGCCAAGGAGACTGCAGAAAAATGGAGAGACAAGATTAAACGTAACTGGGATCCAACAACAACTGCAAAAATACCATCTTAAGCACTCCAGGCCTGGGTTAGACAAACAGAAACCTTTTATTCATAATATCGAAATGGAGGGCAAAGTTTGGTTTGGCATTATTAGTCTCGACTTCTTTAAAAGAAATAAAATCCTTCCTTCTCTGCCTAGCGGTCCAATTCAGTATCACTGCCCTTTCAAAATTATTTTCACAAGACTTACCAGAGTTGTTCTTCCAGCTTGTATGTTTTCTAAGAAAGTCACAGAAGGTTTTGATTTTTCTGCGGGAGAAATAAATATCCTATTTGTTATTGAACGACATAGCAACCCCAAGCAGTGATCTCCAGAATATAAGACTGTGAGGCATTTAGCAGAAACTTTTTGGAAGTGCCAATTATGTAGCTGTCTCGGACTGAGTTTTCGTACGCTTGGATTTGAAGCCCAGGATGGAAGGGACATGTATCATCTAGAGATACAGTTAGGAAGAGCATCAGCAATGCAAAAAATATTCCAGTCACTCAAAAGGCTGCTTGTCACATAAAAATGAACACAGCTTACTTTTATACACCATCCATCAAAAGTAGGATTGTGTGATGCTTTCTGGTTAAAAAAAAGTCAAACGGGAATTAATACTTTAAAGAGTTCAGGGCCATGTCTCTCCTGGAGGCAGGTGATGTGCAAAGATGGCAATAATTGAAATGGAGGAAGGATGGAATTTAGACAGCAGTCCAGATGATAATATGTGCTCAGCAGAGAGTTATAATGAGTGTGGAGTGATAGCAGAAAGTGTCAGCTGGGTTTTTATTTCATGATAATGAGCTGTGATTTGAGGCAACTTCCTTCTCAGCCTCAGGCCAGTATATAAGGTACCCAGGACACTTCCAAATAGTGTGGCAACAACTCTTACCCTAAATTTTAGGTGTCCCAAACTATAGTGGATCCTGCCAGCATCAGCACCTTTAAACAAAAGTTACCTTGAGGTAAGATGGGCGACCTATAAATTTTATAAATAAATAAATAAATAAATAGAAAAGATATTTTCTTTTTAAAAGAACATAGCTGTATATTTCTGAGATGAGTACATTTGACTGCTCTGAACTAATTCTGTGTGTTTTAGTTAAAACATTTTAAAAACTGAATCCTTTCTATGCTAGGAAAGCATAATAATAAAAGACTAATAAAACCAATAACTACTAGCAATAAAAAAGATCTCTCTCCTCTCTACACCATCAAAGGAAGGCTTGTGATCATAAATTGGTCTCTTTTTAGAGATGGCTGGGAAGGGAGAACTTAAAATGGCAATCAGATGTAAGGCTATTCCAGGCAAGGTTAAATTTGTATTATCTAAAAACAGTCCTCAGAAAAAAGCTAGTAAGAAAGCTTCATGATCTTAGGAGGTCATAGATATTTTTTCAAGTAATTTGGTCCTATTTGAAATGTTAAAGAGTAAAACAAGGAGACTGAATTGGGCTTAGAAAACTATGATAAACAGTGCAGGGCAGGCAGCGGCACGCTGTCCTCACTGCACGGAGAGGCTGGGTTGGGCGAGGCAAACTGGTGAGAAGCCGAACCTGCCTGGGCGTGAGCAGAGGTGGCAGTGAGCACATGGCGCCTGGCATCCCAGGTGACTGTTTTGCCTCACAGGCTGAACACGTTCTGAGTGCTTCCCTTTCACCTGGGACTCCAGACACTTGCTGCCACCTCTGCGCACACCCAGGCAGGTTCGGTTTCTCGCTGGGCTTGGGGGGCTGGATGGCATAGCACAGGTACCATGGACTCTCATGCCGCTCATGGCATCCCCTCCCCTGCAGTGTGTGAAGTGGGCAAGGGCCATTTGCTGGGCTCTTTCAGGGAATGCTGCTTTTCTTCATTCCTCCCGGAGGTGACTCTTCCCCAGCTGCGTTTCTTGCCTGCTTTTCATTGACACCTGTGTGTGCTCCCGGCCTGTTTTTTATCCTCTCCTCTCTCACTCCTCCTCCTTTTCTTTTTAGTGCAGTCCAACTGACTCTTTCTCCTCCCAAGGCTGCTTCTTTTTTTCTCTCTTCCTCTCCTGCCCAAACTGCCTCCTTTTATATCCCTTCCTATCTCCACCACCCTCCTCCTCCTTTCTCTTCCGGGTGAGCTGGAAGTGCCGATCCTGGGACCTTTGCCTCGCCCCAGCAGCCCTGCAGCTCCCAAGGACTCTTTCATGGCAAGTCTTTCACTGCACCGCTTTGGCTTGTTCCTTCCTCCACTACACTTGGCTGGGCTGGGCTGGCCTGCCTACCACCTGCCACGTGTCAATGTACCATCGGTGATATGTTTACCACTAGTTGAAAAGTTCTGTTGTATAGGCATCTGAGCTTGCCAAGAATTGAGGAAGGAAGATCTTTAAGATTATATAATATTGGTTATAACCAACCATCCAGAGCAGCTGGTTTCTCTGATTATACCTGTCTTTTCTGTATTAAATGGACTAAAGCAGCCTCTGAACTAGTTATTAGCAGGTAGGATAGACTGTCTATGTCTGCATTTGGGGGCAGATTTCTCATGCATTAAATTGATGGGATATTTTTTTTAATTCAAAATTCATAGGGAAATTTGTCGTAATAAATTATAAAAAGATGACAAGAGGTCTCTTCTACCTTTTTTGGGTAGTCATCTTAAATAGACATCTGCTACAATACATATCCAAACACTAAGCTTAGTTCTAGTTGATTTCATCCTACAGGATTGACAAAGATTTAGGCATAAGGTTTCCAGAAGTTTTCTCTGGCCCCCAAGTTTGCATGACCTGGAAGGTATATGGAGCAACATTGCAAGTTGATGCACTAGTTATGTTCATCTCTGTTTTATGTATTTTAAAACAAAAATGACATTAGGCAACATAAGAAATCCATACTGTGCAAAGAAATGGTATAGGTATAGATACCCAGTGAAGTATCTCATACTAATAATAAAATTATGAACATTTCCATTGTTAATAAATCCAGAGAACTTGACTCAGTATGAAAACCTTAGATGTCAGGATGAAAATGGATTTGTTTATAGAGATAAAAAGATGGCACAAACTGTACAATTGTCCAACTTCCTGCTGGTGTTGCAATTGAGTTTTCTTGTGGAAGTTGTCAGGGAGCATCAGAAATCTTCCTTCCCTTCCCTTCCCTTCCCATCAAGTAAATCACTGCTGGTGAGTAAGGAGAGAGCCAAGGTTTGTGAGAGTGGCTTGGAAATTGTCATGGAACATTGAAAATGAAGATCATGTGACCACAGTATCAGTGCAGCAGCATCTAATAGCACTAAAACAGCCACAACATTCCCCACTTTAATTCCCTCTAGAGCAGGGGTGTCAAATTCGCCACGTGACATGGCACAACATAATTCGACTTTTTTTCTCTTTGCCAGAAAAGATGGCCGCAGCTTCTGCATGACACACCCGGCCCACAGGCCAGCAGTTTAACACCCCTGCTGTAGAGTCATGGATTCAAAGATGTGGATATATTATGTAAATTAGCCCATTTGAGGTACTTTGGTTCAAAAATTTGTTTCTTTATGATGCCCTGTTTTGCCCATGACGACAAGAGTTTTAGTAGGATATGAATGAAATGTGTGGTACTTTATGGGCTCAAGATTATCACTGGTTGTGAAGTATCCAATGAGAGATTATAATCTTCAGAGAGTTCCCAACACATAGGAAAATAAGCTTCATTAGGGATCCACAGGGGAATTTTGAAAAATCAAACTGGTAGCCACAACTACATGATCATAATGAAAAGATGATCAACATTTAAATGGACACAACTGCTATATTCATCTCTTTATTTCAGGGGTGTCAAACTGCTGGCCTGTGGGCCGGTTGCATCATGCAGAGGCCACACTTATCCAGCTCCGGCAATGTGAAAAAAGTTGCGATACGTCATAATATGTCATGTGATGCAGCGAGTTTGACACCCATGCTTTATTTCTTCTCCTGTTTTCAGGGCATTTGTATCAAATAGAGATGATGGTTACTACACCCATTGATTTTGTTGTAAGTATTTGCTTATTCAGAAAAAAGGCAAAAGTAAACAATGTGTTAAAAAGGAGAGATTTGAAATATCTTCATCAAACCGATTCTTGCAAATAGGTGCTTTGTTGTAGGATTCATGTACTCTGGCAGTTATTTTGTGAGATTTCTTATAAAATGCTCTCAAAATTTCACATGTATCTACTAGCACCAACATTTAAGGTTGTTTGACAGGGAATATTATTTTAGTCTGTCAAATGTTGATACAAAAGGTTTGTTCCTTAATCAAGAGAATGATAACATCCATAAGTCTAAAACAGCCAATGCAAATCAAGAGAAATGGGGTAATTCCAGGAGGCACATTTATAATTAAAATTACACCACTGTGACCACAGCATTTGCCATTAGGAACAGACCAAGCTTAGCTGCAGAGGATTGCATGAAGTCATTCTTGACCTAAAATATAGAAATGTAATGGAAAATTACTTCCCCTTGTCAAGCAACTAAAGCTCCTATAGGTGGCAGTGAGTCCATATTTCTTTCTTAAAAATTCAAGCAGAAAGTTTGTGCTTAATGTTTACATCTTAGAGCATGTGCAAATCTTTTTTTCTCAATTTCAAATATTCCATCAGCACTAAGTGCTGATTCAGAATTGGACTCATTTTGAATCAATTCATCAGTGCAGACATTCAAATCAAATAGTTGAATTGGTTCAGTTCAGATTTCTGAAAAGATTTAGAAAAAGGCATTTGTCTATTTGGAAGACTGAATAATTTGGAAGCATTCAATGTAATGTGTCAACTTTCTCATTCGATCCAGCAATTTAATGAAATCACCTCTGTTTTTAATCTCCACATCAAAAAATTCCATACCTCTAGTATGCATGTTCAAATGATTGGTCTCAGATGATATTTGAAGTTAAGCCAACAATCAACCCCAAGACTCGAATCATTTTTGCTCTTCAATACTTTGATAAATATCTAACTTTGCAAATCATCCCAGGTTGTTTCTGTTTGGCTCAGTCATTTCACCTATATAATGTTCTTTATATTTTTTTTGTTTGCTTCTTTTAGTTTTAATTCTTTTAGTTCTTTCTTATCATTTTCAAACACCTTAACGATGCAGCTTTGTATGTATTCCTCCAGTGGTTGGGTTCCATCTAATTTATTTGTTCCTCAGGTAAAAACTCTGGGTTGATTTGTTGGACAATCCATTTGTTCGTTTTCTTGGCTGTACTTCTTTTGTACTATTCATGAAATGCTAGATTTTGGCAGATTAATATCAGTTTCATTTTCAAACAGAATTATCTGGTGAGTAATACTTCAGTACATTGTGATTCCAGGGTTATGATAAGTTATCAGAAAAAATGACAGTTGCTTGTTGTAGGTCTAGTGCCCTGCATTTATCAGCCAAGAACCAGAAGGATTTTAAATGCTAATCCTTGTTCCTTTGGTGATACACAGCATGTGTCACCTTGGACAAGATGCTTGGTATCTGCATTCATCAAGGCCGTTCATCTGAAAAGATTCCCAGAGATTCTCAAACTATAAATTCACTGACTGGAAGATTAAACCTTGGCTAAGAATCTTTTGGACATCAGTAACAGAAAAGGGGGCATTCGCCATTGCACTAATATGAGAATATAAAGTAGATATTTATTAAATTCACATCTGATATCATATCAGGATTTGCAGGTATCCTGGAGTGAAGAAGCTAGAGCAGTGGGAAAATAGTGCTGGTAAGAAATTTAATTTAGATACATGTATGATAATACTCAGAGGGAATATTAACACCCATCAGAAAATGGAGGACAAGAATTCATAGGATGATAATGAAAAATGGTTTGTGGAGAGCTGTGGGGATTAAAATTAGTGATAAGATGATTTAGAGAAAAGGTTATACAAGATTAAAATCTATGTAAATGAATAAATCAAAATATAACTTGAAAGATGAGAAATGGAATTAAACCCTATTTCAAACCTCAGTTTCATATATGAGCTCTTTTGTTTTG